CCCCAAAACCCCAAAACCCCAAAACCCCAAAACCCCAAGATTTTTAGTAAATTTTGAATATATTTAAATGTCAGTGATTTGTTATCAATACAATTGTGATTACTCTTCTGCAGCATACTGCCAGGCTCACAAGGTTCCTATATGAACCAATTGTAGGTATAACCAGCATTACAAGTGCAAGACTCAGCTACTTATTCCTGAAGAGTCTTTGAAATACCAGATCCAGAAGGTCTATGAACTGCTAGTTACTATAGAAGAGTTATTTGAAGATTTATGATTTGGGTCTGATTTCCCCACAGCTTTCCAGATTATCCAAGACTTCAAGGCAGAGTTAGTTGAGATCATTTCTGACACTCTCAAAGCTATTGATGAGGAAGACTTTCTATCATTCTACAGACATCAGAGAGCGATAAATACCCTCATGAAGAACCTTGATAAAGACGAGATTATTACAAAACTTTGAAGTCATATCTTCCAGCAAGCTGTATTTAAGAAGTTAGAATTTCGGAAAGTTGAAGACTGATTTTTGAATCAAGAGATCCTGAGCCAAGAATCAAGCTCAGATGAACAAGAGTTTGACAGCAAAGTTGATTGGGCAGAGGAAGGGTCTATTCTAGCAAGAGGGATACAAGATCTTGAATTCTTAAGAGGGAAGTTCTTTGGGTATCAGAAGAAGATTTTTAAAAATGATATCCTAGAACTAAATCTGGGCTCACAGAAGTACACTAACTTTATGAAAGAGTGTCTCAAACAGAACTTGAAATTTCCCAGAGTGCAAGGATTCACCATTGCTAATATTACAGAAGAGAGTGAATTACTGAAGCAATATACTGAGAAATGCTTACTGAAAGAACCATGAAAGCAAGTGTACATAATTGAGGACGAACCTGTATTCTACTCTAAGTATTGTTCTAGTTTCCAGAAGTTAATACATAGCTCTTTGGAGATGCTAACATTGTCCAACTACATCCTCACAGAAGCCGATTTCAACTCTATCAAAGAGATAATTTCAAACACCCCAGTAAGAATAGAACTCACAGATTGCTTACTAATCTGCACTGAAGGTAAGAAACTATCCACAATGAAAGAAGACGACCGGAGGAAGTACAAAATCTCATGCTCATTCTACTCCCATGAGAACTTTCCAATCTTTTCCAAAATCCTATCCTCAGACTAAATTTCGTTAAAACATTCAGTTTCTTCTTAACCCCCAGGGGTTTTGGGGTTTTGGGGTTTTGGGGTTTTGGGG